CCCCTTCCCTTCCCTTCCCTTCCCTTCCCTTCCCTGCCGGGTTGAAAGGCCTGGTCCTGGCCGGGCTTGACAGAAGCGGCAGCAGCCTGAGGGCGTGTTTTGATTCAGCATTTGTGGGCTTTGATTCTGTGTTTTGATGGGTTTTTCTTTAAACTCTTGAGCCGTGGAGCGACTTAATGTTTTGGGGTTGGGTTTTTTGGGGTTTTGTTGTTGTTTTGTTTCATAGCCCAGCCTTGCTTACCGTCTCCAGAGTGGGCCCTACCCCAACGTATGTAATTCTGCTCCTACTCCTTAAACACCGCTGAAGCCGGCAGGTTGCGTTACTGCTGAGGTGGTTTTGCTGCACAACTGCCTTCAAGTAAACCCGTTCCGTTAATGCTCGATCAGTTCCTTGTGCCATCGCTGTGAATAATGGATGAGAGCCGCAATTAAGTGTCCGTGTAACTAACCTAAATACAAACTGCTTTGCAGCATGTGACGCTGCCCCAGACAGAGATGTTTCCTTGTTGGTTCTTTCTTTTTGCCAGACCTTACAGGTTTGGGGAGGGGAAAAAAAATAAACTCGAAGTCCAAGTGCTGAAAGCCCCTCAGGGCCTGTTGCCTGGTCTTGTCACCCTCTTCCCTGGGCTTTGGAGGGCAAAGTGGCTCTTAAACTCCTTCTGGAGCACTTTATAGTTACTACAAGAGCTGCATTGCTTGTTGGATTGGGTCTCACCGCCTGCCCTGGCTCTTAGGAAGACCGTGAGCCAAACCTGAGGACAAATTCAGCCTCTTGACTGGCTTGTCTCGAACAACTGCTGAACTTTCAACCTCCAACCACTTATTAAAATTAAAGTGGAAAACTTAATCTGATTGTCAGCAGGTCCTGGCTGGTACCTCCCACTCCTTCTCGACAACGGGGTTGCGTTTCGCAGTGCTGACATCACGGGAAGCCAGCACATGGTTGCAGACGCGGCAGAGACGGGGGAAATTATTATTCTGAAAGGATGGGCCAGGTTATCGCTGTCTGGCTGGAGGTCAGGCCGGGGGAACCAGTCAATGTCTCTTCTGATACGGTGAGGTCAGCGCTGCATTAGCTACAGAAGTGAGGTGCCTGTTCCTGCCCAAGTGGGGTTCCCTGCTCCCGTAAGGGAGAGTTTGATCCCTCTGCCTCTGCTGCTGCGGAGGATAAGGGTAGAGGTGACCTGGTCCTTTCTCCCTTGCAGGAAGAGAGGGAGAAGCGGCGGCTGGAGCAGCTGGAGCGCAAGAAGGAGCTGCAGCGCCTGCTGGAGGAGGAAGACTCCAAGCTGAAAGGGAAGTCACCCAAGCAAGTCACTCCGGGCAAAGTCACCAGGGCCCAGATCGAGGAGACGATCAGAAAAGAGCAGCAGCAGAAGGAGAATGCAGATACAGGTTTGGTGGTGCCGTAGAAAGGCCCAGGGAGCCATGGGGGGCTGGGGAGCGGGAAGGGGGGCTGTTCCTTCTTCACCTGCTATCGCTAAAGGACAAGGCGTTTGGAAAGCAAGAGCTGCCTGCAGCTATTGTGTGCTGCGTGCTTTGCCGTGGCTGTGTCTAACAGCCAAATGGGGGGAAAAAAAGAAACCTCCCATCACCTTGAGGTGGAGAAACAGAGCTGCGGAGCAGGCACTCTTACCTTCCAGGACTGGGACTGAACTCTGCCTGAGTTTTCTCAGCACTTTCTTCAGAGTGCTTTGGAAAAGACTGTGCCTCTTCTGAGGGTTCTGCACAGGACGGATTTGATGTTAACGGTTCTCCCTTTCGCCCCCCTCCCTGTGCAGTGGAGAAGGAGAAGACTCACTTGGAGGTTCCCTTGGAAGAGAACATCAACAGAAGGGTACTGGAGGAAGGATCGGTGGAGGCCAGGACGATTGAAGATGCCATTGCTGTCCTCAGGTACGTGGCCATATCATAGCAGTGCTCTCCTTTGAAGGTGTCACCTTCTTTATGAGAGGTTCTTGCAGGCACTCCCTTCCCCAGAACTGGCTTCTTTCTGCGCTTTGGCTACGACTTTCTGTCTTGACAGCAAGAACAGGGCACGTCCCCTGCCCTGTTGTTCTGTGGAGAGTATTTCAAGTGGGTAGGGGAAGTATCACGGGGTTTTTCTGCTTTATCACCCAAGTTATTCCGTGCGCACTTGGTTGCGCTGACAGGGGATCAGAGCGGCTGGTGCCTGCAGGGAGGTGTCTCTGATACGTGTCTCTCTCCGAATTCCCTCCCGGCAGTGTTGCCAATGATCTGGACCGGCACCCCGAGCGCCGGATGAAAGCTGCCTTCACGGCTTTTGAAGAGGTCAATCTGCCACGCCTGAAGCAAGAGAACCCCAACATGCGCCTGTCCCAGCTCAAGCAGCTCCTCAAGAAGGAGTGGATGAAGTCGCCAGAAAACCCCATGAACCAGAGGCACAAAGCTTACAACAGCCAAAAGTAGAACTTAGAGCTGATCGTCCCCCACGGACAGTGGGCTGGAGCCACAGGGCTCTGCTTGGATGAAAATAAGAGACACAAGAAACCTCCTCTCCTTTTGTTTCCTTTCCCTGTCCCCACTTTCTGTCTTTCTCTGTTCTTGGATTTAAGATAAGCACGAGGTGAAGATGGCCTGTCCCTCCCGATGTGCTCACCCCTCTGCAGGCAGCTGGTACAGAGCAACCCAGACAGACTAACACTACCTTCATGCTTCCAAATTCAGTTGTTACCTTACAAAAAAGCTACTAACTCGCTTCCAGACCTTCAGCACGGGCAGCAGTTTGTGAGGTGTGATGTCAGAGCTGCCTGCTGAGATGGGGGATGCTGGCTAGCACCGTGCATTAACCCCCTCACAGCCCGGACCTGCGTTCATCCCTGTCTCTACTGTGGCTGCGCCGCACCCTCGTGCTCCGCAGGGTGAATTTTTGCATCTGTCACGAGGAAGGCGCCTGCCCTCGTGTCGTCCTCGGTGCTGGGATGTCCCCAGAGAGATTCCAGACTGGGATCGCTGTTGGCCCTGCCTGCTGCCGGCCACCTCTCGCCTCCTGATCTCAACGGTGCATTAGACAGGGAGGAGGAACCCCAATGGGAGCAGAAGCTCTGTTGTGGGGAAGAGAGAAAATAAACTTCCGTCTTCAATACAAGAAATAACAGCGCAGCGTGGTTCCTGCCTTGTCTGCGCAGGACACTGGTGCCGGACTTCTCTGTGTGACTTTCCTGGTGGCCTTGCCCAGAGCCTTACACACTGCTGGTGGGACAGGAGGGTTCCTGGAGGGGCTGCAACCCCACGCTACCCAACAACCGCCCCAGGAAGGGGAGTTGCTGC